GATTGGGATTCCTCTATAATAACAGTGATTTTTTGCTGTTTCCCGCGACGCGGTTTTTTTTCGAAACTTTATACAGGATGCACGTGAAAGTGTATCGCCAAAATCAGGTTAGAGTTTTACGCTTTTTCCGTTGGCCGTTGAATTTGCTCGTTTGACCGCAAAATACGTGTATAAGTCGTCGAAAAAATTTATCGCGTAAAATTCAAACTCTTTGTTAAGACCGGACTAATAGTCAACGAGTCAATAGCGAACTTGAATGTATAGAAACAACGCATACCAAAAATCAAAACTCAAAACCCAATATTTAAGTTGCAATAAATAATTGAAGTTGTGACGCCCGGCTATTAATTTTAGACCACATTAAATGCGCGGGAAAGACCGTGACGTCATACCGCTGCTTTTCAATCGATACGGCACATGTTATTGTGTTATATTATTTACGTATATTTTTGGCTCGTGTGGAGTGCAACAGTATTTCAAGTCGTGACCACGTATTTGAATACAACCCGTAAAACGCGAGATAAACTTGTTATTCGTCTACCAGATAATAAAGCCGTCGTTTTTGGGTAACATTATGTTCAGGTGTCACTTTAACCTTAAGTTTTCAGTCTCCATACGAATGGCGTAATGATCTATATAAAATAAGTTATCAATGTCAATATACTTCAAAATCAGTATTTAGGTTTCCACTACTTTAAAAAAATATTTTCTTTTGTTTTTTTTTTGTTGCATAATTTAAATTTTATTTGATATGCCATTTGAATTTTAAAAATTAGAAAACTTTAAGCTGAATACAATATTATGTTGGTTTGAAACTAGTGGCTAAATTTTCTATGAACATACTTTTTCGCTTTTACACCGCGAACTTCAGCAAAAGAAAAACTTTCGGTGATTTCGTTAGTTACCTTGACTTTTTAGAAAATCGGCTTCCGTCATTTTCAAAACTTTTTTTTATACGAAACACAAGATAACAAAAGTAAGCGGCAGTTGTCGTTCTCTAATGGCTTCTTTATGCTACCGTCCGGGTAGCGCGTATCTAACAAGCGAATTGACGTCACAACATAGAACTACGAAATTATTTTTTTCTACTCCCGTCTGCAAAATACCTAATTACACATCGATCTATAGTGCGGATAGCGTCACTTTACCACGTCAGTTTCGTTTCTCATGTGGTCGAGCCAATTCGGACATTTCCGGGATTTTACGGCACGGATTTGGGTGCAATCGCATGTTTACGGAGATATTTCCCACGCTTTGAAGTTTGACGTTTGTCAATTCTGACGGTTATGTCAGTGAATGTATTCGTGTTGTTTTGCGAAAACTAACGGTCGTAGAAAAAGTATAGTATGCAACACGTTCGGTCAACTTTTTAACTCACTCGCTCCGCTCGTGTCAAATAAACTCGTGAGTCAGTTTCCGTTTACCGCACATGTTGCATAATATACCATTTTTGAACGGTCTTTCTTTTAATAGCACAAATTTTGCGCAAGTTCCCTATTGGCAGAAGTTTGAATAGTTTAAGGTCATTCCGTGACTTTTCCAGTTACTATCCGGTGATTAGAAAAGCTGTTGACGTGAGGCTGAATTAAACTAGTTCAATCATATAACGCGAGGGCAGGTGTTAATGATTACCTACGTCGAGTAAACAAAATCGGCCCCATGATGGCTCGTTGCTTAATACGGAAAAGATCGCAGCTGGCAGCTCGTGATTGGTTTAAGCTAATGGGTTTATAACAACGATGAATCAAGACTGCAACCAAATATGTTATCTTTACGTGGACGTTGATTCGAAAATCGACCAAGTGCAAAATGTCTACCAGAAATTCATTACCCTAAAGGATAGCACATATATTTTGTTCAATGTTAACAACGGTAAGTGTTTCCTTCATTCATTGTGCAGTCTTTTTATAAGTAAGCCCGCTTGACTGCTTGTAGAAGCGAATATTTGTTAGTATGAATAAGTAAAATAAACACAATCAGCCAGTGTTTGCATTGCAAAGTGTTAAGTTTTGACACTTGTGGCTTCGAGGACAAGTCCATTGCCGAATTTGTTTGCGACATACAGGATGGCTCATTCACGCCTCAGAATAATTAGAAAAGGGCACAATCGTCGGTTCCTGAGCAAAATAAATTTCCATTAGTTCGCTCTGCTTCAGCTTCTGCACTCGCGTACATGAAATACATTAGGGTGCAAAAAAAATATTTTTTTTAGCTCTTACCCTCTCAAATGTTTCCTTTTGATATAAAAAAAATCCTCACCAAAGATGGGCCCTGTAGCTTAACTCTAAGGGGCCGCTATTTTTATTTTAGATTACCATTTAATTAACATGGGAAAAATTCTTTTTTTACTAAAATTAAATTTACGTATAATGTTCGCGACTTTTCGCAAAAAACCAATTTATATTGTTAAAGTCGAGTCTTCAAGCTTTCCAAAACCGTATAACCAAGTATGATTATCATTAAAAGAAGATTAATTACAACCATTTAAAAATTACTATATTTTGAACTTTTCAGAAATAGCTTCTAATAATTTTTTGTCTACATAATTTCTCAAAATTTTTATCCTAATTAGTAGTCAGTGTTTCATTTCTATGGATTTCAAATTTTAAAATGGTTGTCAGTACGTAATGTGGGTGGCAGCACTAATTATAATAGCACATATATTAATAAAGTATTGTGTATTGTCATTCTTTAAAACTCTCAGTAATTTCAATTATTATAAGTAAAATTGCTGAATAGAAAATTTATTTGGTTAGTTTATTTAGTAAACGAAAATTACCGAGTATAATAAAAGTTTGACTATTATTTTTTTACAAGCATACAGATTGTAACCTCACAATTCGACAGTATTTTGATGAAGTGATTAGAGATGTTATGAAAGTTTAGAAACCTACTGTTATTCCCGTCTGTCAACCATATAACGCTATTACTAAAATCATGAAAGTTTATCGAGAGTGGGAACTTTGAAAAAAAAAAAAAGGAAATTCAGAAACAAAAAATTAAGGAGCATACATTTAAAAATCGCCTTGATAATTTGTTTCATGTATCTAATCATAACATAGCATATTCTTTAACAGAAGCTCAGTCCAAATATTTAAACGAAGAATGGAAAACGTCAAATCGACATAGTATTTTTTCAACTTCTGCAAACTTAGAAGTTTCGACAGACTCTAATGAATTGTGAGGTTAGAATCTGTATGCGTGCAAAAAAATATTTGTAAAACTTTTCTTATACTCGGTAAATTTCGTTTACTTAATTTTGTACATGAAAAACCCAACAAATAAATTTTTCTTTGTCATTTTACTGATAATAATTAAAATTGCTGAGAGTTTTAAAGAATGACAATACCCAATAATTTCTTAATATATGTGTTGCAGACACTGACAACTGCACCGTATGATCTAATATAATTTGTGCTGCCACCTAGACTACGTTCTGACAACAATTTTAAAATTGGAAGTCAATAGAAATAAAACACTGACTACTAAAATTATTAGAAGCTATTTCTGAAAAGTTCAAAATTTAGTAATTTTTAAATGGCTGTAATCAATCTTCTTTTAATGATAAGCATACTTTGTTATATGGTTTTGGAAAGGTTAAAGACTCAGTTTTAACAATATAAATTGTTTTTTTTTTTTTGTAAAAAAATTGCGAATATTCTATGTAAATTTAATTTTTGTGAAAAAAGAATTTTTCCCATCTTAATTAAATGGTAAACTAAAATAAAAATAGAGTTGAGCTACAGAGCTCATCTTTGGTGAGGATTTTTTTTTATATCAAAAAGAAACATTTGAGAGGGTAAGAGCTAAAAAAAAATTAAATTTTTTTTTGAAGCACCCTACTCTACATTCCTTAAAAAGTGCAAAGGAAAGAGATCTGAAGGAAAGAGACAAGTACCTCTTTCATTTTTAGTTAAATATATCCAACTATTACGGAAGAATACCTTGCAATAAAAAAATCGTTGTACTCACTAAACCAAAGTTTTGGTTAGTTTTTGATATTTCACTTGATTTTTGTTAACACAGGTGATACAATAGCGTTCGCGTTATTAGTGGCAATCCCTGTTCATACATAGTAAATAAAGCTTCAAAATAAATTAAAATATTGATTTTACGGTACTCAATTCAAGGTGACCACCGCTTTAAAAGTTTGCTTGGGACGTAATTAATTATCATTTTTTCAGAAACCAATTTTTTTTAGATTTCTTTGTGCGAAATTTCATCTGAAAATTTTGTTAAATAAATTTTCGATGGTTTACGCATTTTTGAAAAATTTTGGTAAATATAAATTTTTGAAAATATTTTTTTGGTATTATGCAATTGAAATATAATTAGTAACGCTAAATTTGGGTCACAGTAATTATTTATTTAAATTTAATTATTCTAGGCCCTATGTGAAAATTTAAAAAAAAAATTTTTTTGAAATTTGAAGTCTTAAATTAGTCCTTTCCTTCTCAAAATTTCGCATAGTAAAATTTTAAAAACAAAAAAAAAATATTTTCCTCTTTTTATGTATTCACTTTTTCTTTCATAATGAAGTGATAAAAAAAGTGATAAAAAGTGAATAAGTATAATTATAACCTTTAGAACATTGCACCCAAAGTCAAAATATTTTTTTTTTCTTTTTTCTTACTTTGTTTGGGATTTCATTTGTATGCCGTTTTATTTTTTATTCTCTTTCTTCTTTGAGTTTCTTTTCGTTTTTATAAGAGAGCTATTACAAAAAAAAACTTACATACAAAAGTAAAAAGTACTTTCAAACTTATAAAGCATTGCAAGTCGAAATAACAAATGTGCCATGATGTTTTCTTCGTTTCCTTCTCTTTTCTTTATTTCGCATTTTATTTTTTCCTCTCTCTTTTTTCGTAGAATAGCGATCCGCAAGAATCATACATACTAAAATTCAATAAAAAAGTAGTGAAAAATTAAGAGATATCGATGGTCGATCACGAGAGGAACTTTCGCGACACATTTCTCCCTTAAATCTAAAAACAACTAACCTTATTTATTGGCCGCGCACTAACCAAACTTAGCAGCGAAACTGTCTTTTGTGGGAATTCCTCAAAAACCCGAAAAATCGAACAAGTCGCCCGTACCCCGACTGGAAAGAGCGAAAATCGAAAAAAAAAGAACCGCGTCCTTGGCCGGCCTTGAGCACCCGCGATCGTCAGTTGTTCGCGACCGAAGAGCGTCGACGCGATTGTTTCATTATCGCGGACAGCAGCCACCTGCGATAAGGCCCGTTTCTTCTTCCTCGTTCTGTAAGCGACGTGCGGAGGACCGGGGCCGTTTAGAACGTGACGATTTGATTGTTACAAATTGACTCGGACGGGTGCCGCCGGCTTATATGGAGTTTTTTTTTTACTTTTCGCCACTGGCGGTGAGGATGTGTGACGCGGTGGGGGAGTTTTGGTCGAACGGGGGTGGGAGGGACGCTCGCGGAATATTTTAGTCGCGGATGAACAGTTCGCAAAGTATGTGACGACTAAACGAAACGGGTCGGTCATTATGCAGAAGAAGTTTCACAAAAATCAATTAAATATTAATTTAAATAATAAATAAATTGGTCTTTATTTTCCAGCATATTTCAATAAACAAAATATTTCACTATTTTACAAGTAAACTGTTTTTCATCTTAAGCGGAGAAAATATAAACAATTTATAAAAATTCTAATATCTTAAATAACTAATAGAAAAATATAATAATTATGAATTAGACTAATATGTTTGAATTATCGACTTTTATTGATTTATAGGTCTCAAGTTATTATTATTTAGCAAAAAGATTTTTATTTATGTAATAACGATATTTATTTCGCATATAAAATACAGTCGATAATACAGGAACCCATCAAGTAAATACGAAAAAAAGTAAAGAAGGTTCATCCAACTTGCGCATGGAACAATCAAGAAGAAGAAGAAAAGAAGAAGAAGAAAAGAAGAAGAAGAAAAGAAGAATAAAATGTGTGTCTTTAGTATCCAGAAAGTAAGAAAAATAACAATTTAAAGAGGATAAATTCAAAAAATAGGATAATAGGCATTTCACAAAGAACTCTTAAACTTAACCGTTTTTATAAAAAAATGAAAATAATCTACTAAAAAATTATATGAACTAAAACCAACAACCAACAAACACGTGAAGGTAAAACATATCAACTGCTTTTTACAATATACAAGCATTTTAGACAAATAAGAGAGCTGCTTCCAAAGTGAATAGAATAATAAATGCGTTTTTTTATTAATTTCCTTCTCTTATCCTTTCTAAAAAAAATTTATTCTAAATAATCTATACATGACAGCATAGCTTTTCACACCGCGGTTTTGAATGTACATTTAATATATTTAATTACATTTAATATTAATAAATAAAAATTACTAAGGTCCATAATTATTTTAGACAATATAATACAATATAACTCAAATCAAATTTAATTTAAAAAAAACTTGATTATGCTCCTTGAAAGTCCTCGTCGAATGCGACATCGACTTTGAGGCCGTCCTCAAATACAATAAATTTTTTCACGTTTATTTATCAACGACTCCAAACAGCAAAAGAATAGCAATTGAAGCAAATGTTATCCCGATGCTGTTTGAATTGTAAAAGAAGTGTATTTTTACACTCATTCCTATTAAATCGAATAGTCAAAAAGTTTTCTGATAGGAATATCTTTTTTCCTCGTCGTCCATCTTTTTAACTTAGACTCTCTTTTATTTTATGATTTGAAGTCCTCCAAGTCATTCTGTTCCGTAGTCGACTTTAAAGATAACATAAAATCGGTTACCAAACACATGAATCCATCCTTAAGGTCACAGTCAACAAGTCAAGTCAACAAGTATACATATTATAATTATTTTGATCAACAACGTAAAATAAGAGATCTGAACAATACAATTGCGCTCGCGTTATTACTGGAAATCCCTGTATATATATATATATATATATATATATATATATATATATATATATATATATATATATATATATATATTCTCACGTAGTGATTCACGGATGGAAAAATGTGATGACACTATATTCCGGGATATCATCCGTTCGCTCGTTGAACTCCGACTGGAATCCTGCAAATCTTGCATCCGACTGGAATCCTGCAGACGTTTCGCCAAAATCTAACTTGGCATCTTCAATGCTCGCGCTCCGAAAACACTTCGAACACTGTGTAACTATAAATGCCATTAATAATCTTGATTATAGGTATTTCCGTTATATCAGTTATAGTCACTCTCAAGGGAATGTCAAAGTAACGGTAACTTGGACTACCCAGAGTTACCGTTAATAATACAACGACTGTTAAAAAAAATAAGTAGATTTCCTTTTATTAATGGCTAGTAATAGGGATAGTGTTTCTCTTGTTCATTTATATTGATGGGAGAATATGTAGATGATGTAATTTAAATATAATTTGTAATACTCTAACTTAAACTACTAACTACTACTTCCAAATTCGAAGTATTTAAGTCTTCTTTATTGTTTTATAAAAAATATTGGTCAGAAAATAGCATTGTGTACTATTTCAAAGAAGACTGAAAATACATATGGCTTAAAAAAGGACCATTCCAAAATTCCCGTTTACAATTTTTGCGGCAACTAAATCACTAAGGAATACCCTAATAATTACAATAATAAATACATTTATTGCTGCGCCAAATATACATATCGTTACGCTACAAAATATTAGATGGTGCCAATTTTAAGGCAAACAAAAGGCATAATAAATCGCAGACATTCAGCAAAGCCAGACATTGTTCAAGCCTCAATTTGACGTAAACCAAGTTATCCTAAGAACAAATAACATTAATCATCAAATATAGTTTTCAATAAATAGAAAAGTCTTAGGAGAAAAAAGGGGTAAGGGTAAACCGCAGAGTGTTTCCGATACAGAAATTATTGAGTTCCAAGAAGATATTTCTTATACCGGCTTTTAAAAGTTTTGGTTGATATTGTTAGACCGAAAAGGCTTAAATTATTTAACGTAAGTGTAATGCTTTAAGAAAGTGATCACATTTCTTTTCGATTCAAGTCATAAAAATCTGTACGAAAAGTGATTTTGTTAAAAAGATATTCAGGATATTTACACTCAATTCATTTAAAATAGAATATACCACGGTTGCACATGTTAAGTCAACCCGAAACTGCAAAGTATGAAGAAATATGATCATGTCGGCCAACTCCATAAACATGGCGCAAACATGAATTTTATATTTTCTGTACATACCACAGCAATGATTGAAGTGTGACAGAACAATGGATTCACAAAGTAGTTTCTTTGTAACAATTGGAAGAAAATATCTATTACTGTATATTAACTTAAAATTCCTATATGCCATTCCCAATTTGCTTGTAATGAGTTCCTTGAACCGCAACTTAGAGTCCAAAATCAATCCTAAACTTTTCGATGCATCCGAGTATGGTATAGGAGTGTCATTAATTTTTATGATCATTTTTTTTGACATTATGTACCTGCGAATCACTTCCACTCCCCACCCGACCCACACCAACGAATTATGTTGGATTTAGCTGCAGTAGATGATCGGATGCAATTTTATAAAAGTTCTTTAAAGAAGCGTTAATTTTAGTCTCAGACTGTGTCATGTCATGATCTCAAAAATAAAAGTAAATGTCAGTGTCATCAGCATATAGGTGATAATTACAATATTTTAAAGCCTTTACGAACTTAAACGTATCAATTGTATAGAACAAGGGACCCAATATGCTACATTGTGGTACAACTAACGCAACGGAGATTGGTTCGGAATACATATTGTCGCAGAACGCCTGCAGTGTGTGGAAACACAAAACTGAAATTAGCAATATATGATCGATCATGGCTAACCTAACCTAACCTTGCTAAAGTCTAACAAAATTATCAAAGCACTCCCACAAGTATAATCTTTTCTAAACCCGATTGGTTTGTATTAAGTATAGCCGACAATTGGTTTAAAGAAAACGTATTAATTTTGTTTCGTCTAAATTGCCCCTATTTGGAATGTGATAAGCATGTTATCAATATAATAGATAGTGTAAAGTTTTTAGGATGAATTTGTGGACTGCAATGGACATATTGATAGTTCAATAAAACGGTTAAATTCTGTTTGTTGTGGAATTAGAGTAGTTACACTACAATACAACAAAAATTTTGTATTTTGCCAATTTTCTGTCCATTTAAAATATGGCATTATTTTTTGGGGAGGGCACAGCGCAGTACAAAGATTATTTGTAGTTCATTAGAGAGTTATAAGGCTAATTAAAAAGATGAAGTGTGGAGATAGTTGTCGAGGAATTTTTCAGATGGAAATATTAATGACAGTATACGGTGTCATATTTACGAGTCACTCATTTTCTTTTTTAAAAATCGGGAATATTTCGAACTACATATATCATCCCATACGTTCAACCCTAGAACGCGAAATGTAAATTACCCAATACATAGATTAACTCAGAGAAGAGTCCATACTATATGTGTAGAAGTTTTTATAACAAACTGTCCAACAGTTTAAAAGAAATAAATAGTTTGAAAAGATTTAAAATAAATATTAGGACACTTCTAATCAATAAAAGACTAAAAACGCTATTTCTGTTGTGTTTTTGTATTTTGTAATATACTAACACAATTTGAAATAAAAATTATTATTATTATTATTATTATTATTATTATTATTATTATCAAAAAGAGCTAAGAATTTTCTTATTTGCCAGTCAATTATTCTTCCAAAAACTTTAGAAAGAGTAGTAGTGACTTTAGCTGTTTAAATTCTGTGGGGTTCTTTACTTTAGGAGGAGGTGCGACCTTTGCATGCTCAAGACTTTGGAAAATAAGAGTTCAATATTTATTCGTTTATGACATGTAATAAAAGGGATTATAACAGGGCCACAAAAACGTATTTATCATCACCTGTATACACAGATATACGAGGTTAGCGCCAAAATATCCCGGCCTGACATAGATGCAGCTCCAGTATCACGATAAAACTTTGTCTTTTAAATATGTATCTTAGTAGGCTGCGAAAAAAAATTGAAGTCTTGACAACATTTTAAACAAGACGTGTCCGAAAAGAAGCTGCAAATAACGCAAATTGAGTATAGAGCAGTCATAAAGTTTTTGGCAAAAAAAGGGTTAGTACTTAAAATTATTAAAGAAAGGCTGGATGGTGTGTACGACCAAAGTTCTCCTTCGTATTCTGTAGTGAAAGAATGGGCAAAACGTTTTCGAATGAGGCAGGAGACCCTTGAAGATGATTCAAGAACTGGTCGACCAGTAGAGGTCGAAACGGAAGATATTGTTGCGA